GGGTTGAAGAAAAAGTCATAAGGGAAGTTAACTATTTTAGACTCAAAATAAGAAAACACTACAGATAATATCAAAACTTGTCTGGTGAAGTTAATGCAGTGATTTGAAGGAAAATCATAACCTGAAGCCTGCTGGAAAAGAAGGAAATATGAAACATGACTAGCTATCTAAACACTAGAGATGATTTAGAAATTAAGCAGATTAATAATATAATAATACTAGACACTTGCCAGTAAGTTTTAAAATTCAGCTGAAATGGATAAAATCACAGGAATAATATCACTTACCAAAAATTACTCAGTAAGAGAAAACCTACATAAATATATAATTATTTAAAAATTGAGTGAGAAGTCAAAAAACTCTCCACAAAAAGGGAACTCCAGATCATATAGCTTCACCAGAAATTTCTACAAAGTTCAAAGAAGAAATAAATTCAGTCCTACACAACCATATGCTAAAACTACACCCGATTGGCTAAAATTTAAAAAATTGAGTCTGACAAAATTGACAAGAATAGAGTGCAACAGGAACTCTTACACACTGCCAGTGGTAGAATAAATTGGTACAATCCTTGGGGATTTTCCCCATGATATAACAATTCCACTCAATTATTTATCCTAGATAAATGTGTACACATCTCGCAATTTATGTATTAAAATACTCAGAGCAGCACTAATCATTAAAGAAAAAAAATGAAAACAACCCGAAAGTCCACCAACAATGGAATGGTTCTATAGTAGAGGAGAACTAATAAACAGAAACCTCAATTAAGTAGAGTTGGGAGACCAGAAGAGGGAGCTCTCACACCCTGCAAAGATAGCAGAGCCCAACTGGAAGGACTTTCCTGGCAAGGACTTAGCCAGTGAAAAGCCGTGGACTCTTAGTTTACTGTAGCCCTTCCAGCTTCCTTTTCCTCTCTATCAACGCATTCTCCTTTCCTTGCCATGTGGAGACTTGCACATGGCTCATTATGGTTACAGTCCCCAAATTACGATTCTCTGCTGATCCCCAATAAACCTATTTTTGCCAGAGAAATATCTGGCAGTCTATTTGTTTTAGGATAGCAATAGTTTATCATATGGTCATTCATTGGAATCTTTTACGGCAATAAAAATGAATGAGAACAGCCACGTGAAACAACCGGATGACTCCTACAATCATAACATTAAGCAAAAAGAAAATCATAACACAAAAGAATACATAAAGTATGATTCCCTGTCTATAAAGTTCAAAATCAAGCAAATTTCAAGTATAGAGTTTATGATTACATATATTACGGTTCACTGTAAAGGAAGACACATAAATTACTGCTATAAAAGTCAAGATGAGGTTTACTGCTTGAAGAGGAGAGAGGCTGTGATTTGGGAGGGATGATTGAGCGGAATTTAGTTTACTGGGAAAATTCAATTTCCTAATCTGAGTGTGATTATATACACGTTTGCTTTTTTAAAATATTAGTTTTATTTATTTTTCTGTATTTTACATTTTATAAAGAAAATGTTTAAAACATAATTTGGCAGAGCTTAAAAGTAACAGAAGAGAAAAATAAAAATTATAGAATGAAGGTCACATTAAAAGAAGCAAAAAGAAGTCACAACTGCTAAAAATACACTTAGGAATATGTAGGATGAGTTAGAAAAATCCAGCAAAAGAAGAATGAGTTTTAAAAGATTAAAGAAAATTATGGATAAGGAATACAGACAAAAGAGATCCAACATAAGCATGTTGAAAAAAATAAGACAAATAGATAAGCAGAATCTAAAGATAGGAAACGCTACAGAAAAAAGAGCACAATCTGCAGACTTAAATGGCATATGAGAAAAAATATTGATAAAGAAAATTCAACACAAGACTAATTATTGGGCCAAAGAAGAAATTCTAAGGACATTACAGGCCAAAAAAAAAAAAAAAAAAATTCTTTTTAACCAGTAAGGATATTGAAGGGGAAGAATCAGCTGGTTTCAGACTTTTCTACAACAAGAGTCAATGCTAGCAGGGAATAGACTCTGCAGAACCCTGAGAGGATAACCAGAATATGATGAACACAACCAAGCGGCGATTCAAGTTCATAGAAAACTAAGACAATTTCAGATATGCAAAAAATCTCTGGACTGGCCCCTCAAAATTAAATCAAAAAGATTACTGACTGTACCTCCCTCACCAACTCCTGGTCTACATTCCTTAGTGGGGCAGTTTGGTCACTAAATGTGGCTATCCCCTGAAATGCCTCATCTCTTTTTGGCCACCTCCTGGGTAATGATTAGGATGAAAGGGATAGAAGGTTCTATAAAAAACTATTTTGAAGTTTCAGGATTGTATCCTGACCATTCCTCGGCATGATGCTTTTCTTTCCCTAACAGCAACTCCAGGCCACCCTGATTGGTACACCCTCCAGGTGGCAGGCCAGCCAAAAAGGGTCTTTGGGATTCAAACTTCATTCAGATCAGATGCCTGGATTCTCTTGTGTTTTTTTGTTTTTGTTTGTTTGTTTGTTTTGCGGTACGAGGGCCTCTCACTGTTGTGGCCTCTCCCATTGTGGAGCACAGGCTCCGGACGCGCAGGCTCAGCGGCCGTGGCTCACGGGCCCAGCCGCTCCACGGCATGTGGGATCTTCCCGGACCAGGGCATGAACCCGTGTCCCCTGCATTGGCAGGCGGACTCCCAACCACTGCGCCACCAGGGAAGCCCCTGGATTCTCTTTTGGATTGACAAGGCTCTAGGTCATGAGGATAATGATCATTTGGTTGAGTACAATGCTGGACAACTCCCCCTACAAGCCAAGATGTGGAATATAACAGGTTTCTATAAATGTTGTAAAATTGCTTTTGTCCCTTTCCCACCTGAGTGCTCTGGACTGAAGCCCTCGGTGCCAGTGGCAGATGATTAGAGAAAAAGCGAAGTTATAGACACTGCGGTGGACACACTGACTTCATGGCTGGGGGGGAAGACTAGCAACACTAATACCTGGGGAAGGAGCACCTTAGAACCTGGGAGGTTCAGGGAGTGGGGAGAACAGCTAAGGCTCTCTTTTTCACCCTAGATCCAACACTACTGCCTGGCAAAATAATTATGTGGTCTGCTTGTGTCAAGCAGCAGCTGCGGCTGGCAACCTGACCCACCGCCCAGTTGTCATGCTGTCCACATGCTATGAGAATGGAAAATTTCACACAGACATGGCAGACCCTGAGCTATTCTGTTGTGCTGAGGCCATCAATGGCAGACCCCAAATGTGGACCCCTCTCGTGTGTATAGACACAGTATGACTTTGCTTCAGTCTGACTCATACGAATTCATAAAACTCTCTTGATGCTGGGAACAGCTGTGGGTTATGTCACATATGGCAAACAAAGCAGCTGTAACTACTCAGTGGCACCGCCCACCTGATATAACCAAATCAAGGTAATGGTGACCCAAATCAAATATAACAACAAACCCCACGCCGGAGCGACCTGTGCACCTTCAGGTTATGTGTTTGCGTGTGGGGAAGTGTAGACCACTGAACGGCTCTTTAACGGGGAAGGGGTTGTTTTTGGCCCATCTTTGGCCTCCTTTATTTACTGCCAATGACACCAAGAGCAGCAGGTCATTCTAAATTCCCTTTCATGAGCTGTAATGGAAAACCAGACCCATTGTTCCTCCTGGTGTTACTCAGCTGCTGAGCCCAGGACCCTGGGGCATGGTTTAAACCAATACTACAATTTGGCCTCATCCTGTGCTTGGAGTCCTGTTGATAGCAGCCTTAATTAAATGGCACATGAGACAAGCTGAACAAATTTAGTCCCAGCTTCTGTTGGTCAGACTAATCAGAGTAGCCAGTGGAGTGGCTTATCCACGTGAAAATTCACCAGAAGCGAAGACTGTATTGTGTCAGAAAAGTGTTGGATATTTTGGGGAGACATTCTTCCACGGGTATTTCACTCTCCCACATGTTGTACTGACAAAAATGCAAGGCCCTGACAATACTTTACCTGGCTGTTTCCTAGGATGTGTGTGCAGTGAGCAACCTTGAGGGATGAAGAAATGTCTCCCTCCAGGACAAAGGGCAGGCTTGCTCTCTGCTTGCTATAAAATGGTGAGTTCCCCAAACTCAAGCGTTCCTCTCCTGGAATGCAACCCACTGCATGTGGAGGCATCCATCCAAGTCTTCCACATCAACCCTGTGGGACCTAGGGCACTCAGGAAACTGACACAAACATGCCCAATGCTTATGGGGCTATACTCTGAGGAATGAAGTCCTCTGTCTCTGATAGGATTCTACATCTCCTGCCAGCATCCACTCAACAGTAATAGGCTAACTTATTAGGTTACAAGCAGAATAAAATTAAAATTCAGACCCCAAAGTTACATCAGAATTGTGAAAAATACATATATAAATTGACAATGGAAACATAGAAAAGCAGCACTTTCTTGGAAGAGCCAGGAAGATGTATCATAGTGTCTAGGCTTCCCACATGTAGAGCAAAATTCTTGACCCAGAGGTCAATAATTCATGCTGTATAAGTAAAAATGTACTAGCCAATATCAATCAGTTCAAGATTTAAAAAGAAAATAAAAATCTAAACAATACATCATTGAACATAAAAAGTACTCAGAACATAGGACGAGATTTTATTAGATTGCAAGCTCCTTGAGACCACAGACAGCATTTTTCCAGATAGAAAATGATTAGTAAAACCTTTGATTTAATAAGAAAAAGTAATTCAAGGACAGATGGAATATCTAAGGATGACAGAACACGGAAGACCTAAATTAAGTGCTGTTTACTTAATACATACCCTGTCCAAAGTACTAAGGGGGACACAAAGAAATGTGAAATATGGCTTCTATACTAATAACATGTAATATACTGATCCGTATATATGAAATTCAGATTCTCATTTCTGAGAATAACTTACCTTCTAGCCCCATTTATTTTTCATCGTCTCTCCATATACTAAATTTCTTCTAGCTGTATAAGCCACCAAATAGGTATCATTTTCCTAATGGAAAACTGAACTCACCCAAGCCTCTGAATATTGCAGTTTGGATGTCTCAAAGCCTCAAACAGAATTCTTACTCCATCATCCTGCAGGTAATTGTTCCCAAGGTCCAGGCTCTTCAGGTTTGGGTTGTTCAAAATAGCAGAAGACAGATCCAGACAACATGCACTAATGAGAACACAGCCCATCACTCTGTGAGAAACAAAAAAGAGAAGTGAGATCTTCAGCTGTGAGGTTTTATTAGTTTATTCCTAGGAGAGATGCCCAGGTATTTGAGCCTTTTCTATCTATAACCTAGGGTGCACATAGGAAGGTCTAACACTGCTAGTAAAAACAGATGAGATTTCTTAATGAGCAGGAAAAAAGCCAGCAGGTAAAACTGCCTTCTCTCACAAATAGGTTGTTTTCTAGTAAGCTTCCCAGATCAAGGGTATAAACACTCATTTCTATCAATACCAAAAAAAAATGGATATAACTTTCCCAAGGAACTCACAGATCTCTATGCCTTCAGTTGCTAATATATTTTTGAAATAAAAATGCTGCCCAGGAATCTAAAAGTCATATTTCTGAAGAAGAAAGAAGCTACATACAGAAAAGCATTTCCTTCAAGCCCTTTGTAGGGCATTCAAGAGCATCCACAACCTGGCCTTGGGTTCTCTTTCCATACTTTGTTCCCACCCTATTTTCCAACCATACCCATCCATTTTCCCCCCAAATATATCACATCTATCTGCATTCCCCCCTTCTTCTCTCTTCTTTCCTTCTGCTTAGAATATCTGCACATAACAAAATCCTCTTTATCTTTCAAGACTAAAGTAACTCAGTGTCTTCTGTCCCATTCCTTGCTCCTTGGGACTTCTGCCATATCCTTTTAACAACATATGGAATCTATGTATAGTTGGCTTTATATTTATTTCCCTGCCGTCTGTACTTTGTGAGTTACCTGAGGACAAGAGCATAACCTCAGAGATAACCTTTAGCCCTCTCAGCATCTAGCTCATATTTGTTGTAAATATTGCTTGAGAGAAGTGGCACCCTGAGAGGCTGTGAGAGTAGCTAAGGAAGTACAAATTGGTCTGTGTGTTTACAGCAATGCTAAGGAGGAAAAGCAGGCTAAGCAAACATCTTGTGTGCATAGGTCACTTAGAAATTATATCTCTGTAGCTGAAATGAAGGCACTGGATTTATTCTTTTAATCTATTTTTTTAAATACACAGTGTGATCTTTTATTTATTTATTTATTCGGCTGCTCCAGGTCTCAGCTGCGGCATGCGGAATCTTCCATCTTTATTGCAGCATGCAGGATCTTTAGTTGCAGCATGTGGGATCTTTAGCTGTGGCATGCAAACTCTTAGTTGCAGCATGCATGTGGGATCTAGTTCCCTGACCAGGGGTTGAACCCGGGCCCCCTGCACTGGGAGCGTGGAGCCCTAGCCACTGGACTACCAGGGAAGTCCCAAGGCACTGGATTTAATGATAAACTCCATGAAGTAAAATGTCTTCTAGTTGAATAATAATCAAGGAAACCAGAGAATCACATTGTAACCCATATCATATACATTTTCCCAGAGGAAGTACAGGTGCTTATTGGATCCAAGAGTTCAATCACCTTGGTGTTTACAGATGTGACAATCAACTATTAAACTCATTTGGAAATTTGGTTATCGTGAGTCAGTCCAGTCAGGCCAAACACTTCTGGGTATACCATTGATCATCAGTTTATCATTCTAGAAAAACAATGTTGGGCTTAGCCCTTAATGACTCACCCAGGCTACTAGTCCCATGGGAGGCCCTAGTGGGAAAGTGAGATTTCTTTTTTTTTTTTTTTTGGAAAGTGAGATTTCTAAGCGACACTTCTATCTTGCTTCACTCGAGCCACAATATTTACCTAATGAAATATTAAACATCATGTAGCCATTAAAAAAATCAGATAATTGTATGTAAGTATTTAAATGTGTTTCTGAAATACTATCATGTGAAAAGGAAACCTCAAAGCCATGTCTACACAGTAATCACAATTACATATCCACCTATCATGCACATGTATGTCTACCCACTCCCGGAGCAAGGGAGAACATAATAGGAGTAAAAATGGTCGCTGTTTAAGAATGACTGGATGGTTGGATATTTTAAAAAATTTCATTCCCAGTTTCTTTCAAAGTTGACCTAATTATAAACCTGAGTTTAAGAAAGAAAAACTAGTAGAGCACAATTTCGGCTTCATGGATGTAAGGTAGAAGACACACAGTAGACTCCCTGGAGCACAACCAAGGAAAAAATGAAATGGCTACCCTTCTGTCTGATGTCTCTGGTCCTCCCTACCTGAGGGAATGAGGGAAGTTGACTGTAATTACTGTAGCAATTGTTTTAGAAAAATCTGACGAATAGATTTCCCCAGCTTGTCTCAGGCAGAATGAGAGAGAGGGAATCAGCTGTGTATTCTTTTCTCTGACAAATACTCTGCTCCCAGCCTTTCTTTCCGCATCTCCCCTGCCCTCACAGTACATAAAGCTACACAAAAGTAAGGTCACAGAACACCTACTCCAGGTCTTGGAGACTGCAGCCTGGATGCCGAAAGACATCACACAGAAGCTTTACTCCATCATCTTGTAGGCAGTCTGACCCCAGATCCAGATGCGTCAGGCTCTTGTTGCGTAGGAGGGAGGTTGAGAGAGATTCACTGCTGGATGAAGTGAAATGGCAATGCCTCAGCCTGTGGGAAGGACAGTGTAAGGAGAGATGGAATCACTGCTCTACTGCCTAGAGATTTACATCTTTGAAGAGATTTCATGTTACAATCCCATATTTACTTGACAGCACGCCATGTCCAATGAAATGCCCTCTTCCCCCATTGCCTCTTTGGCTGGCTCACTTGGGATCCTTAGGTTTGCGCCAAACTGGGCTACAAACTGGATTCTTGTTCTTCAGAATTTTTCTTACTATAAACAATATGTTAACTTCCTTACACTGTATATAAATATAGTATCTTACTGCAGAAGTAGCTCTATGGAGCACAGGAGCAGGCAAATGGAGTAGAATGACAGTAATCATAATTAACTAAGGACTTTTCGTACATAATAAAAGTGGCATTTCCAATCAGAAGGGAAAAGATATATTATGCCGTAAATGATTTGGGGACAACAGATCTAATATACAGGGAAAAGTAAGTTTAAGCCTTATAACAAAATAAATTTGGAATAATTTAAAATTTAAATGTTAAAAATTAAGTCATAAAGAATATGCAAAAGATGATATAAGTGGGTTTTTTTTAAAAAAAGGTATTTCCAATTATGAAAAAACTCCTAGAAGTCATGAGGAGTCATAATTTGACTACACAAAAGTTGTAAACATCTATATCCTAAAATGACCATAAAGTTAGAAATACAGCAACATGCTAGGTAAGTTATTTACGACATATAAAAAATAATAGTAACAATGTATATGTGATATTAATACCATAACATATATAACAGAAAACATCCAGGAGAAAACTGAGCCTTATGAAGAGGCAATTCCTTGAATACTAGAGGCCAAAAACATTCGAAAAGATATTCAACATCAAATCATTTTTAGAGTTATTTTCAACTATCTAATTAGTATTGATAAAGAAGCTTATAGATACAAAGTGAAGATATTAAAAATGTAAGTCCCTAAACCGCTGAAGGAATGTATACAATCTATCTGGAGGCAGTTTAACCATACCTGACAAAATAAAAAATTCTGACTCGTCAATTCCACGTCTAGGAAGTTACGTAACAGCAACGAACAGTATAATCACACCATGATCCAGCCATACCACGTAACGCATTCAATGGTTTTTGTTTAATCATACTGATATATATTTACCTGTTTGGAGCCCAGAATATAGAGTTGGATGGGTGGACTTCAGTCCTAAATCCATCATTTTCTTGTAAGCATTATGAAAGCTGCATAATCTTCCTAAGCCTCACACTCCTTACCTGTTCAGTGAGGCACTTAGAACTCAGGTGGCCAATCTGACACCAATAGGTACTGCCGTTCAGGTTAAACAAATTTTGCGCAGGGCCCAGCACAAAGTCAGGACAAAATAAATGGCGATTATTAATATCATCATCCTCATCATCTTCATTGTCATTAAAGATTCTAGGGAAAAAGCAAGGGACACAATAGGTCCATAATATTTTCCCAGCTTAAATATATTTCAAAATGTGTATTACATTGGAAGGAGGACAACTAGCAGACACTCACACAAGGCTCTGTAGAGTGCACTCTGCATGTTTCAAGGCATCACTCATAAGCTTTACTCCACTATCTCCCAAGACACTGTCCACCAAGCATAAACGTGTCAGCCTTTTACTGCTGATGAGAGCCAAAGAGAGATCCTCACAACCAGCTACCGTGAGCCCACAGCTTTCTAAGCTGAAGGAGAAAGACAGATGGGGAGGGATCAGTCAATTCCCAAAGTGCGTCCTTCTCTCCTCCTTCACAGGGAAGTTAGCTGGTACTCACAACCCCTACATCTCTACTACAGAAGCAACCTCATCAAACCTACTTAAATCATGAATTCCATTGCAGCTATGGACAGGGTATGATGAAACAAAACATAGGAGGAGAGAGGATAAGCCTCGAAAACAATGAAAATAAGATGTCCATCATAAAGAGATGTCTACAAGTCAAGTGAAAGAGGAAGGGAGGTAGAAAAAGAAAAGGAGGAGGTCTTGCAGGATTGATGAATGAGCCAATTAATGTCAGGACCCAAGCAGTTTCCCCATTCAGGTCATAATTAAGCTACGCAAGACTGAACAAAATAAATCTATAGAAAATAGTACAGAAAGACTCACGGTAATCTCTCTAGGTTACACGTTGGATGCATTAAGGCCTCACACGACATCTTCACTCTGTCATCCAAGAGATTATTAGTTGATGGATTCAGAGATAACAAGCTTTGGCTTCTGATGAGAGCCTTAGAGATATTTCGGCAACAAACCGTAGTTAGGTCGCAGGACTGATTCCAAGCTGGAAAACAATATAGGAAAATAGAAATGACCACTCCTCAGAGAATAATTATAACCCCCACTCACCCAGCCAGAGCGTGTGGTTTCCCAGTCTTTGGGATTTGTTCTGAAAATCCAGCTTCCCGACACAGAATGAGAATGATTTAACTAAAGCACAGGGCTCTGATAGAGAGTTAGGGAGGGGAGGGGAGGAAGCTTGTCTCTTCCATCCCCACCTGCCCAGTTCCCCCACGAAATATGTATGCAAGCTTTTAAAAATATCTTCACATTATAATCTTTTTTAATCTGGGAGAAATTTCCTTTAACTACAACTTGGAAGAAGGTGGACTGGAGGATGGCTGTATCCTTGCATTCTTTGACTTCTGAAACAGAACAGAGGTGGGCAGGAAATCAGACGTAAAAGCTGTGACAACCACAAAACTGTCTGCCAGGAGCTCATTTCTTCATGGGAGCCAACCTATGTTTTCTGAGGAACCCTGTCCTTAACAGTGAAAACAAGAAGGAAATCAGAAATAAAATAAAATGGTTTCTAAAAATAAAGTAAAAGAGGAAGGGAAACAGAAGAAGAAAATAAGAAGCACATGTAGAGCCCCTATTTTCAGAGACTCATATTTAGAGACGACTTGGGCTTTGACCATGGCTGGGACTAATATCAGCTATTGGTAAGAAGAGTCAGGCAGCAGCATTCCTGGAACTTGGAATTGTTCCATTTACTCCCATTAATCAAGGACTTATCAACTTGAGTCCCTTGAGAATTGGTTCTCTACATCAAAATCAGGGTATAGAGAGGTAGGAACAGGAGAAACTCCCTCCTCAGTCCAGAATTAGACCTCAGTGGATGACCTAGAACATGGCTCAAGGCTGAAAACCTCACCTTGCTTTGAAAAGTTGTTATGGACTGAATTGTTCCCCAAATTTGTATGTTGAAGCCCTACCCCCAGCCCAATGTGACAGTATTTAGAGACAGGGCCTCTAAGGAGGTAGTTAAGGTTAATGAGGTTGTAAGAGTGGACCCCTAATCCAATAGGACTGATGTCCCCATAAGGGGAGGAAGAGACACCAGGAGTGAGCACACGCACAAAAAGGCCATGTGAGGACACAATGAGAAGGTAGCCATCTACAAGCCAGGGAGAGAGGCCTCACCAGAAACCAACCCTGCCAGCACCCTGATCTTGACCTTCCAGCTTCCAGAACTGTGAGAAATAAATTTATATTGTTTAAGTCTGTGCTATTTTGGGTATTCTGTTATGGGAGCCTGAGCAGATTAATACAAAAGGGTTTATATCAGCAGCCAGGTAGGCAATTAGGGAAACAAGGGAAATCTTATAAACTATGTTTGGATAGAGCTCTTCTAGACAGAAAAGAGACTCCAATATTATGGGACGTGTGGATAAAATATTAAAGCTTAACAGAAAGAAAACATTACACTAAGGGACAGAAAATAAGCACATGTATAAAACCCAGAAAACTAGGAAACAGAAGAAAGCGCTTAGAAAGGCTTCCTTTACATTTTAAATGTATAGGAAGACTCTGTGAAACAAGAATACCACATCAGAAGTGGAGATCAGGGGAATTCCCTAGAGGTCAACTGGTTAGGACTCCACGCTTCCACCGCAAGGGGCACAGGTTCGATCCCTGGTTGGGGAACTAAGATCCCGCATGCCTCAAAAAAAAAAAAAAAAAAAAAGTCAAAACAAAACAAAACAAAAAAAACAATAGAGAACTGAAATCTGAATTTGAAGAAATGAAAAGCAAAATCAATATAAATAAATATGCGAAACTCCCCAAGAAGGAAGGAGGAAAAAGATTTAGAGGACAAAAAATAAGTAAGAGTTATATAGGAACAGAGCTACAACTAATGACTATTAGATGCTCTTAAAAAAGAGAGACAGAGACAGCACGTGCAACAGAGTGAGCCCTGACGTCATTTTAAAAAACCAATTTAAAGAAATCATTTCTGAGGGGAATAAAGAAATGTTTCCCACAGATCAAAAGTAATAAAATGTAAAAGTAATTAAAAAAAATCCTGAGAACACTAGTGAGAAAGTCTGGGAAGGTGGGAGGGAGTTAAGGGGTTGAAGTGTCAGGTTATCCTTAGACTTCTCTTTAGAACACTAGAAAAAAGTAATGTAACAAAGTCAAAGTGTGAAGAACACAGTGGAGGCCTAAGACCAAGATACACGTCATTCATCTGTGAAGACAGTCAAAGGACATAAAGGAAGTCATAAAATGTACATTCACACACATTCACACACATTGCATGAAAACGTTCACACACATTGCATGAAAACGTTCACACACACTGCATAAAACGTTAGTTTAAAATTGTACCACCCAATCATGCAATGAATCAAAACTAAGATTTTATACAGTGGGAAAGGTGAGTTTAAGAAAACAAAACCAAAAACTAGCAGTATACATTGATTAAAAATTAAGTGTACAGAATTGAGTCTAAATAATTGTATTCATGTGTTGCCATGATAAAAAGTCAGAAAAGTTTTGAAAGAGTTCAAAGGGTAAAATATTTAGCCCCTGTAATCCTAGATTAAATGAACATACTGGAAATTGTATGATCAAGGTATACTAAATGTACTGCCTTACATAAGGGTATTTTAAATGCTCTAATCCTTTTGAATTTGATCAAGATATGTTTGGGGGGGGAACCCTGAAGAGTAATAACTAATAATCATCAATTAAAAACAGGCACTATAACTTGCAAATGTTCCAACATACCTGGACACAAAACAAAAATGAAACAAAATGTAGCTCATTTGTGAATCAAGAAATAGAAGTGGTACTGAAAACATTAAAAAATGCTTCTAACTGGAGATATAAACAGTACATGCCCCCAAGTCCCTTTGTTCATAATCTATTTTGCTCTTATCCTTTCCATAGTATAAGTTTGAGCTTCTCAAACTCTCTTCTTTTCTTTGTGCCAATTAATAGAACTTCAGCTATGGACCTCCTAATGCTTTATGAATGAAATCTCAGCCTCATGAAAAGAAAATGTTCCCTCTTTCCCTTGCATCTGCAAAGAAAAGCAGATGGTATTACAAGTCAGAAAATATTTTGTAAGAACATTTTTGCTGTGTTTTATTGTTTTATCATAACAAGGGAATCTTACAAGATACCTGGACCTTAGAAATTGTTGCTATGCCTTGTGAAAACAACCCTTAAGTGCTTTTAAGTCTGTAATTTTGATTGTCTTATATAAAAATGTGTCTCTCTTGCAATATTCAAATTGATATTTTGGAATTCCTACATGTTACAAATATTGAAAGAATTTTGTTAAAGCAGAAAAAAAGATCATCAGTACTCTCCTCTCACATGCATTAAGGTAATAAAAAATATATATAATTCTTCTCTTCCTAGAGTTTGAAGGTCCTGTCTCGTTTATATTAATATGTAACATCAATCACCAGTGACTCAGTCAAAAGGGAAGATGAGAGCTGAGGTTTGTGGCTCCATACTTATCCCTAAATATGAACCAGCGAAACGGAGGAAATACATTAACTTACTTTTGGGTCCTATTGGAGAACCAGCCCTATAATCTCTTAATATTGCTACTAAAACGAGGCCCTGGGCTGAAAATTTCCAAAGCCCCTTCAAAGTAAGCACATTATAATTATTATTTTTTTGTTGTTCTTATTGATTTTATTGTTCTTATTATATTCAGAACAGCTGTCTGAATATATTTTTTCTTTTCTAAAAATGCCTGCTGCTTAATTTTCAGGTTGCCCAAGAATTTCTTGTTGTTGAGTGTGAGATTATTTTTCTGATATGAACTAGACATTGAGATATGGCAGAATGGAGTTGTTGCTAAAGCAGTAGGGTTGCAGAACTTATGTGTTCCCCACGTATGGGCCGAATGCACCACAGGTGCCAGAGGAATGGTGCTCACAAGAGAAAGAGCTTTTACATTAATAAGACAGGCTTCATGGGCCTGTTCTAAAGCAAAGTAAATCATTCGATAAATCAATGTGGTCTAAAATTTGAGACCTAAAATGGCTATGGGACTTCTCCCTGATTTTACTAAAGTGAGAAATAAAAATGCACACGTTTTCTTAGATCACGTAAGGCTTTGCATTTCTTTAACAATAAGTCTAAACTAAAGAATTTCCTAAATCTCTTACAGTTCCCTTATAGGTCAAATAATCATTACTTATGTTAATATTTATTTTTTTTTTACAACATCTTTAATGGAGTATAATTGCTTTACAATGGTGTGTTAGTTTCTGCTTTATAATTATGTTAATATTTAAAAGAATATAAATATAAATCTGGGTGTATAACTTAAATGAGTTAATCTTTATAAATTAGGATCTTATAAATCTTGGAATGAGACAATATTACAAACACTATACTATCTGGGTCAAGCTTGAGATATAATCTGTTTTGCTAAATTCTTAGTTACTAACAGCGGCTATACTCTCCTTAATGTTAACTTGAATATATTTTCTAAACTTACTCATTGATTTTGGAAACTTGGAATAATGTAATATTTTAAAAATTAGTAATTTGGGGCTTCCCTGGTGGCACAGTGGTTGAGAGTCCACCTGCCGATGCAGGGGACATGGGTTCGTGCCCCGGTCCAGGAAGATCCCACATGCCGCGGAGCGGCTGGTCCCGTGAGCCATGGCCACTGAGCCTGCGCATCCGGAGCCTGTGCTCCGCAACGGGAGAGGCCACAGCAGTGAGAGGCCCGCACATCGCAAAAAAAAAAAAAAAAAATTAGTAATTTGTGTTTATCTAAAGACATCTAAAGAAATTAAACTTCAAAGAGAGAAAATAAATTACATTCTTACAACAATCTGTTACCATTTTTTCTTCATACTATTCAAATTAAAATAGCAAAATCAATGTATTGTCTTATATCCCATGTTATTTATGTTTAAAAAGTTAGGGCTTAAACATTTAAACCAGGGGTCCCCAACCCCTGGGCCATGGACTGGTACTGGTCCGTGGCCTGTTAGGAACCGGGATGCAGAGCAGGAGGTGAGCGCAGGTGGGCAAGCGAGCAAAACTTCAGCTGTATTTACAGCCGCTCCCCATTGCTCGCATTACCACCTGAGCTCCGCCTCCTGTCAGATCAGCTGCGGCATTAGATTCTCATGGGAGCGCAAACCCTACTGTGAACTGCACGTGCGAGGCATCTAGATTTCAAGGTCCTTATGAGAATCTAATGTTTGATGATCTGAGGTGTGGCAACCCTGAGGTAGGGCAACCCGTACCAGCAGAAATTTACCTATGTTTTTTACCTATGTTTTTTTACAAGCTGTGAGTTTTGTCGTCACCAATAAGGACGACTCAGGGAGCTTCACTTTTCTCAGCAAACTACTCATGAGGAAGGACATGGGGTGTACCTGGGTCCAGTCTGTACACAGCACACACTCAGGTTCCTCAAAGGCAAAGTTCAGTTCATCAAAACTATCAGTAATAAAAAGGAGACTACTCGGCTGGGACAGAATCCTTTCAATGGGGCCTTCTGTGCAGGGCCAGTCCTTTGATATCATTTGAGCAAAGCTTCTCTCTCTCAACTGGTTCATTTCTCTTGCATTGAGATAAAAAACATAGGTGAATTCCTGCTGGTAGGGGCTGCCCTGTGCCCAGTCTAACATCACCATTCTCACCAAGGTTGTCTTCCCAACTCCCGCAGCCCCCTGAAGGATCAGCAGAACAGGCTGCTCACCTGTTCTGACATCCTCATCAAACAAACGTTCCAACAGTTCTCGGCCTTCCTGAGCAATTTCATGACAGAAGTTTTCAGATTCTCCAAGCAAATGGTTCTTATCTAACATGATGCAAAATGTTTCCCTTATTTGAACTCTGTATTCTGCTCCGTCACCTAAATCAGTTAGAAGGGAGCCAGAAGATACACATGATCAGAATTAATTCTATGATTTTCAATCTTAAGAATATTGCCCTTAGAGTAGGACCAGGAAGTGACACATGCTGAAATCAAAGTACAGCTGGTTTAAATGAGAAAAGAATGTAAATAAAACAAAAATATTCTTGTAGGTTTAAAACCCACATTATAAACTGAGAAAACAGAACCCACAATGCAGAAATTAATGATGGAAAATAAAAATTAGATTCGTTCCAGAAATACTTTTTTTCTTCCCTGTACTTCTATTCTACAGAGAAAAAAGAGGATGTATGTGGAGAACAGAGCCATCATCCAGATAAAAGGAGAACACAGGCAACAATTAACAATAATACCCAGATAGGAACTGAACACAGATCTGAATCTACAGATCAAAATCATCCACTTTATACAGATAAACCATTAGTGGACATGAACAGTTGCAGACATTCTCCCCAAGGATCAAGACGGCTAAGCCCCACAGCGAGCTTCCCACCTTGGGGTCCTGCACTGGGAAGATGAGCCCACAGAACGTTTGGCTTCGAAGGCAGCAGGGCTTACTTTCGGGAGAGCCAGAGGGCTGTAGGAAACACGACTCTGCTCTTAAAGGGCACATACAAAATCTCACATGTTGAGACCCAGAGTAAAAGCAGTAATTTGAAAGGAGCTCGGGTAAGACCTAGTATCTGATCTTGGAAAGCCTCCCAGAGAGGCAGGAGGCAACTGGGACTCACCCAGGGGACACAGACACTGATGGCAGCTGTTTGGGGAGTTCCTTCTACCACGAGGACACTGGTGCTGCCAAGAGCCATTTTGGAGTCCTTCCCCTAGCTCATTAGCACCAGGACCCAGCCCTGCCCACCAGCTGGTTGGCACCAGTCCTGGGGCACCCCAGACCAAGCAGCAACCACTTAGGGACACAGCTTCACCCACCAGCAAGCCGATAGAAGCCGTAGGCCCCCCTGAGCATCCCAGCTGGCCCAGGACCCATCCCCCAGACCCCCACCAGTGGGCAGACACCAGTCCCTGGACCCTGCCTACCAGCGGGTGGACACACCAGCTCCAAGATATCTTAGGCCCCTCAGCCAGCATCCCTGGAATCCAGCGTCAACCACCAGTGGGCCAGCACTGGCCCCAGAACCTCCCTCATCTACCACCCCAAACCTGGCTCTGCCCATTAGTGGGTCATTACTAGCCCTGGAACCCCTCAGAGTGCCACAGCCAGTCACCTCTGGACCTGGCTCCACCCAGGGGTGCCAGGACAGACTGGTCCAGTCCTGGCACCCCTGTACTCCCAAAGCCAGCCACCTTGTGATCCGGCCCCACCAACCAACAGGTCAGCCCAGACCGTGCAGCCAGTCACACCACGCCCCAACCCCACCCAATAGCAGGTCAACACCAGCTCTGGGAACCCTGGGCCTGCAGCCGGCCACCCATGGCCCAGCCCCACTCACCAGCGGGACAGCACCAGGACAGGGACCCCCCAGGCCATGCAGCCAGCTGCTCCAGGACATGCAGCCAGCTGCTCCAGGACCAGCTCCACCAGCAGCCAGCAGCCTCTGCACTAGGCAGGGCCTAGCAACCAGGCCAGGGGCCAGCCATGCCTACCTGTGTGCCCACAGTCGGCATGTGGCCTGTTGTAGCCCTGCCACAACAGAAGGGCCCATGCAGCCCAGATAGGAGTCACCACTAGAGCATATAACTCTGTTGACCAGAGGGAAGTGTGCTACTGGGCCTCAGGTCAGCTCCTAAATAAGCCACTTCCCCAAGATTAGGAAGCACAACTGACCTACCTAATACACAGAAACAGACACAGAAACAACTACAAGAAAAAAACTAAAAAACACATACACATGGAGGCTAAACAATATGCTACTAAACAACTAATGGGTCAATGAAGAAATCAAAGGGGAAATAAAAAAATACCTAGAGACAAACGAAAATGAAACCACGATGATCTAAAACCTATGGGATGCAGCAAAAGCAGTTCTAAGAGGGAAGTTTCTAGCAATACAGTCTTAACTCAGGAAATAAGAAAAATCACAAATAAACAACCTAACCTTACACCTAAAGCAACTAGAGAAAGAAGAACAAACAAAACCCAAAGTTAGTAGAAGGAAAGAAATCATAAAGATCAGAGCAGAAATAAATGAAATAGAAATGAAGAAAACAATAGCAAAGATCAATGAAACTAAAAGCTGGTTCTTTGAAAAGATAAACAAAATTGATAAACTTTTAGCCAGACTCATCAAAAAAAACAGGGAGAGGGCTCAAATCAATAAAATTAGAAATGTAAAAGGAGAAGTTAACAATGGACACTGCAGAAATACAAAGAATAAGAGACTACCACGAGCAACTATATGCCAATAAAATGGACAATCTGGAAGAAATGGACAAATTCTTAGAAAGGTACAATCTCCCAAGACTGAACCAGGAATAAATAGAAAATATGAACAGACCAATCGCAAGTACTGAAATTGAAACTGTGATAAAAAACTCCCAACAGGGCTTCCCTGGTGGCGCAGTGGTTGAGAGTCCGCCTGCCGATGCAGGGGACACGGGTTCGTGCCCCGGTCCGGGAAGATCCCACATGCCGCGGAGCGGCTGGGCCCGTGAGCCATGGTCGCTGAGCCTGCGCGTCCAGAGCCTGTGCTCCGCAACGGGAGAGGCCACAACAGTGAGAGGCCCGCGTACCACAAAAACAAAACAAAACAAAAAAACTCCCAACAAACAGAAGTTCAGGACCAGATAGCTTCATAGGAGAATTCTATCAAACATTTAGAAAAGAGTTAACACCTATCCTTCTGAAACTATTCCAAAAAATTGCAGAGGAAGGAATACTCCCAAACTCATTCTATGAGGCCACAATCACCCTCTTACCAAAACCAGACAAAGATATCACAAAAAAAGAGAATTACAGGCCAATATCACTGATGAACACAGACACAAAAATCCTCAACAAAACACTAGCAATCCAAATTCAACAATACATTAAAAGGATCATACACCATGATCAAGTGGAATTTATCCCCAAGGAGATTTCAGTATCTGGAAATCAATCAATGTGATTCACTACATTAACAAATTAAATAATAAAAATCATACGATCACTTCAATAGATGCCGAAAAAGCTTCTGACAAAATTCACATCCATTTAGGATAAAAACTCTCCAGAAAGTGGAGGTGACCATACTACCCAAGGCAACCTACGGATTCAATGCAGTCCCAATCAAAATACCAAGGGCATTTTTCACTGAACCAGAACAATCTAAAATTTGTATGGAAACACAAATGACCCCAAATAGCAAAAACAATCTTGAAAAAGAAAAACAAAGCTGGAGGTATCATAATCCCTGACTTAAGACTATACTACAGTAATCAAAACAGTATGGTACTAACACAGAAACAGACACACAGAACAATGGAACAGAAAAGAGAGCCCAGAAATGAACCCATACTTATATGGTCAATTAATCTACAACAAAGGAAATATGAATATATAATTGAGAAAAGAGAGCCTATTCAATAAATTGTGTTGGGAAAAGTAGACAGCTGACATACAAAAGACTACTTTGTCACACCATATACAAAAATAAACTCAAAATGGATTAAAGACTTAAATGCAATGCAAGCAACCTAAATGTCCATCGACAAAGGAATGGATAAAGAAGGTGTGGTACATATATACAATGGAATATTACTCAGCCATAAAAAAGAATGAAACAATGTCATTTGCAGCAACATAGATGGACCTAGAGATTGCCATACTGAGTGAAGTAAGTCAGACACAGAAAAACAAATATTATATGATATCGCTTAAACGTGGAATCTATAAAAATGGTACAGATGAACTTATTTATAAAACAGAAATAGAGTCACAGATGTAGAAAACAAACTTATGGTTACCAGGGGGGAAAGGGTGGGGGAGGGATAAATTGGAAGATTGGGATTGACATATACACACTACTGTATATAAAATAGAAAACTAATAAGGACCTACTGTAGAGCACAGGGAACTCAACCTATATGGGAAAAGAATCTAAAAAAGAGTGGATATATGTATATGTATAACTGAATCACTTTGCTGTACAGTAGAAACACAACATTTTAAATCAACTATACTCCAATAAAAAATTTTTTAAAAAGACTTACGTGTTAAGACCTAAAACCATACAACTTCTGGAAGAAAACATAGGCAGTATGCTCTTTGACACTGGTCTTAGCAATATTATTTTGGATATGCCTCCTCAGGCAAAGGAAGTGAAAGCAAAAGTAAACAAATAGGACTACATCGAACTAAAAAGCTTTTTTTTTTTAAAGCTTTTGCATTTGAGGGTATTATGCTAAGCGAAATAAATCACACAGAGAAAGATATAATATCACTTATATGTGGAATCTAAAAAAATGCAACAAAGTAATGAATATAACAAAAAAGAAGCAGACTGACAGATATAGAGAACAAACTAATGGTTACCAGTTGGGGGGGAGGGACACTATAGGGGTATGGGATTAAGAGGTACGAACTATTACATACAAAATAAGCTACACGGATATATTGTACAACACGGGGAATATAGCCAATATTTTATAATAACAATAAATGGACTTTTAAAAATTATGATTCTTATATTGTACACCTGTGACTTATGTAATATTGTACATCAACTATACTTCAATAAATAAATAAATAAATAAAAAGCTTTTGCACAGTGAAACTATCAACAAAACAAAAAGGCCATCTACTGAATGGGAGAAGATATTTGCAAATACTATATCCATTAATGTGTTAATATCCAAACTATACAAAGAGCTCATACAACACAACATTAAAAAAAAGCCCTGGTGGCACAGTGGTTAAGAATCCGCCTGCCAATTCAGGGGACATGGGTTCGAGCCCTGGTCCGGGAAGATCCCACATGCCGCGGAGCAACTAAGCCCGTGCGCCGCAACTACTGAGCCTGTGCTCTAGAGCCCATGAGCCACAACTACTGAGCCCGAGTGCCACAAGTACTGAAGCCCGTGCGCCTAGAGCCCATGCTCTGCAACAAGAGAAGCCACCGAATGAGAAGCCCGTGCACTGCGACGAAGAGTAGCCCCTCTCGCCACAACTAGAGAAAAGCCCACGTGCAGCAACAAAGACCTGATGCAGCAAAATAAATAAATTTATTTTAAAAAAAAACCTATTGAAAAATGGGCAGAGGACCTGAATAGACATTTTTTCAAAGATGACTTCAGATGGGCAACAGCACATGAAAAGATTCTCAACATCACTAATCACCAGAAAAATACAAATCAAAATCACAATAAGATATCATCCCACATCTGTCACAATGGCTATTATCAAAAAGACAACAAATAACAGGTGTTGGCGAGGATATGGAGAAAATGGAACCCTCAGGCACTGTTGGTGGGAATGTAAGTTGGTACAGCCAGTATGGAAAACAGTAAGAAGGTTTCTCAAAAAATTGAAAACAGAACTACCATACGATACAGTAATTCTACTCCTGGGTATTTAGCCAAAGAAAATGAAAACACTAATTCAAAAAGACATATGCACCCTTATGTTTACTGTAGCATTATTTACAACAGCCAAGATATGGAAGCAACCTAAGTGCCCTTCAACAGATGAACAGATAAAGAAACTGTGGTATATATACACAATGGAATATTAGCCATAAAAAGGAATGAAATCTTGCCATTTGTGACAACATGGGTGGACCTAGAGGGTGTTATGCTAAGTGAAGTAAGTCAGACAGAGAAAGACAAATACTGTACAAGTTCACTTATATGTAGAATCTAAAAAACAAATGAAAAAACATAATGAAACAGAAACAGAGTCATAGATACAGAGAAAAACAGGTGGTTGCCAGAGGGGTGGGAGATGGGAGGAATTTAGAAATAGGTGAGGGAGAGGTACAAACTAAAAAAGAAAAAGAAAGAAAGAAATGAACATTGAAGCATAGCCTGAAGAATATTTTAAAGAAAAGAAATTCCCAAGTGTCCAAGTAGAATGAAAATATAGTTACATCTTTTCCTAGTTCAGTCTGATTCCTTCTTTAGAGCTCAATTTAAATGTCACTATCTCTGGGAAGACTTCTCTGAACTCCAAAGATAGATAGTTCTCTCTTTTGTACATTCTCAGAACACAGTATATTTTCCATTCACAGCACATATCTCAAGCTGGAATTACTTTAGTTTTTAAAGCATATAATTCTTTTCTTTGTTCTACTAGGGCATTCAGTGCAAACATCTAACAAAGTTCATATCCCACTAAATTATGCTTAGTTCTCCCCCAGGGGAAGGTATGTTATTAGAAGTCAGATACTCTTTCTTTTTATGGTATAATATCATACAGTGCTGTACTTTTAAAAAATTGGGATTATAAGGATGATCTTTACTATCTTCATTATACTTTTATCTATCTTCCAAATTTTCCAAAGTAAATTTCTATGGAGGTAGAACCTTGGTTTCCTAAATTTATGGTCAGTTATACCACAAAAATAAGCTTCCTTATATTGCATCAGAAATTAAGGTCCAAGCAGGAACTTATCTTCAAAATCATTTAATACAATAAGACATTTTTATTTATTAGTGCTTAGAATAAAATAGGTTCTCAATTATTTCTTGAATGAAATAATGTAGCCCATTAGAAAGCAGCACAGCTGAGCTAAGCTGGTCCAGTTTTCTTTGTATTATAATTCAATTTATATAACCTAGAATTCAGCCATATAGAATTCAAAACAAAGTAGGGGGACTGGGAATGGTATTGAACTAAGACTGAGAAAACCTGGTCCTAGAAATAACATTTTACGCAGACTAGTTGTCACCATCCTGGAACTCAATTACAGCATCATTTCTTTTTTAAAAAAATTTAATTAATTTATTTTTTACACAGCAGGTTCTTATTAGTTATCTATTTTATACACATCAGTGTATACATGTCAATCCCAATAGCCCAATTCATCATACCACCACCACCACCCCCTGCCACTTTGCCCCCTTGGTGTCCATATGTTTGTTCTCTACATCTGTGTCTCTATTTCTGCCTTGCAAACCAGTTCATCTGTGCCATTTTTCTAGATTCCACATATATGTGTTAATATACGATATTTGTTTTTCTCTTTCTGACTTACTTCACTCTGTACGATAGTCTCTAGATCCATCCACGTCTTTACAAATGACCCAATTTCGTTCCTTTTTATGGCTGAGTAATATTCCATTGTATATATGTACCACACCTTCTTTATCCATTCGTCTGTTGATGGGCATTTAGGTTGCTTCTATGACCTGGCTATTGTTAATAGTGCTGCAATGAACACTGGGGTGCATGTGTCTTTTTGAATTATGGTTTTCTCTGGGTATATGCCCAGTAGTGGGATTGCTGGGTCATATGGTAGTTCTATTTTTAGCTTTTTAAGGAACCTCCATACTGTTCTCCATAGTGGCTGTATCAATTTACATTCCCACCAACAGTGCAAGAGGGTTCCCTTTTCTCCACACCCTCTCCAGCATTTGTTGTTTGTAGATTTTCTGATAATGCCCATTCTAACTGGTATGAGGTAATACCTCACTGTAGTTTTGATTTGCATTAATTTGATCTGATTTGATTTGCTCTAATAATTAATGATCCGGAGCAGCTTTTCACGTGCTTCTTGGCCATCTGTATGTCTTCTTTGGAGAAATGTCTATTTAGGTATTCTGCCCATTTTTTGATTGGGTTGTTTGTTTTTTTAATATTGAGCTGCATGAGCTGCTTATATAAAGATTTTTCTTTTGATGTGGACCATTTTTAAAGTCTTTACTGAATTTGTTACAATATTGCTTCTGTGTTATGTTTTGGTTTTTTTGTCCCCAAGGCATGTGGGATCTTAGTTCCCCGACCAGCGATCAGACCCATACCTGCTGTATTGGAAGGCAAAGTCTTAACCACTGGACTACCAGGGAAGTCCCTACAGCATCATTTCTAATGGAAGAGAAGAGACGCAAAAAGCCAAATAATCCCTGCCAGCTCAGGGACTCTTCAGTCTATAAAACAAGATATTAAGATACCTTTGTTCATCAGACTGTCAATTTTTGACTGGCCATTTCCAAATACTGCTCTTTTGAGGCTCTGAATTAACATGGTTCTGTTTCTGACTTTGTCCAGAGAGCCAGTTTTGTCAACTCTTTTTGAACAATAATCACAGAACAGGTAGGATATTGCAAGAAGTTAACAAGGGTTGAACAAAGGTCCCCAGGGAGATAACTTTCCCCCATGATGCTTCAAAAGCACAAACCTCCCAAATCTGACAAAAAGCCCATCTACTTACCCAGCACTGCTTCCTGATCACCTTGTACCTTTCTGGCCCCAGTGTCCTCTGGTCTCAGTCTGGGCTGTCCCTGCAACAGGTTCCAAAAGGATCGTGAGATTTACCAAAAACAAGGAGAATTTGGTGATGGTCAGAACAGGGGCCAGAATTTTCCTCAGTGTCCAATTCTATGATCATCTGGGTTTAAGAAACTAGAGCCAACAAAGCCTCAGACTCCACCAGCTCAGCTGAGGGTGAAGTGATGTGGTGTGATCAACACTGAAGCATGATACCTCTTGCCATGCTTCCCACCCTGTAACTCTGAGGCAAGTAGTCTAGTCTAAGCCTAAGTTTCCTCGACTGTACTGACCTCACAAGGATATGGTAAGGCTCAAAAGAAATAATGGGGCTTCCCTGGTGGTGCAGTGGTTGAGAGTCCGCCTGCCGATGCAGGGGACATGGGTTTGTGCCCCGGTCCGGGAAGATCCCACATGCCGCGGAGCGGCTGCTCCCGTGAGCCATGGCCGCTGAGCCTGCGCATCCGGAGCCTGTGCTCAGCAACGGGAGAGGCCACAACAGTGAGAGGCCCGCGTACTGCAAAAAAAAAAAAAAAGAAAGAAATAATGGATATACATTTTGGAGCTCTAAAGCCTTGTATACAAATAAGGAATTTTAGATGTCTACAGAATTTCACACCTGGGAATGACTAAAACTACTGTTTTGCCTTATGTCCCTTAATAATTTTTTGCCCATTCCTCATATTTCAGCAAAGATTTAAGGTCATATTTGAGTCTCCTCAAAATTTAGGCCAACCTATGACTTTATTTGTAGTTTAGGCAAAGGAGCACTAGATGGGGCAATTCTTTTCACTCAATTCCTTTAATCATTCTAATTGGTACAAGATGGATGAATTACCCCCAATTAAGGAGCCAGGCTGAATTACAGTACTCAGAACCCTCCAGCCTGCTTAGTGTTCCTCAAACGATCCAACGTACTTGAGCACCATGGAGCCTGTGTCCCACAGAATGGTTTAATCCCCAAGTCCCTCTCATAGAACCAATGGGCTCCAGGAACCACTTCCTTCTTTCCACCTGTAGAAGTGTGTCCAGCATCACTCACAGTTGATCTCTGCGTTTGCTCTCTCACACAGATCCTTCAGGTTCATCTTGCCAAAGATTTTGAGAGCCACCCCCCAGGCCTGCTCTCCTGGATGGTACTCGTTCATCAAGTTAGCCAAATCGTCCCGCTTGGCCTTCTTCACTTCAGACCAGGGTATCCTGCAGGATCCAGGTCCCGTGGTCTCATTCTTTAGGAGTGACTTGAATCTATTTAATTCCTCTTTGTTTAGCTCCTCCAAATACAGTAGCAGCCCCAAATCAGAAAAGAAGGAGGAAGATGACAAATCTGTCATCTTGTCCAGGGATCAATATTCAAGCTTCAGTGGGGAAAAAATAATCAAAAGAATGTGGAATAAATGGGACCTATTGAAAAGTAAGTTTAGAAAATGAAATACCTCTAAAAACATATATTAATTCAACAAACCTGTATTGAAGCCTACTGTATCAGGCTCAGTACTGACTTCCTGTCCACTGTTATACATTTTCTATCATAAAAACATTCTTCTAATATAGACCAATCTATGATTCTTCCACCTTCCCAAGAGTTACTCCCAGTCCCACACTTATGAGCTGTAAGAAATAAAGAAAGGCAATTCATCTCTCATTACTCTTCTGCAAAGCAAGGATATCAGAACCAATCTCAGAGGACTGTGGTATGGATTAAATAAGGTAGAGTTCCTATATCAACTGGCTCAGAACAGGCTCCTACTACGTATTGGCAAATTTCTTCATTCTCTCTCTCCCCCACCAACACCCAACATACATCTCAGCCTATAAAATGGTGTTATTGTACCCCCATCATTACTCTTGAAGCACATGTGTCACCATTGGCATATATCACCATTTACCTCTTGTCATGTCATCTCTGGTCACAAATCCATACTAGTCCCTGAAGATCTGCATTCTTAGCTCACAAGCTACTTTCACATCCACTCCCCAACACCACAATTATTCTGGGTGAGCTCAAAGTTAAAGCCCTTCCCAAACAGCATTCTCGCCCACCTCAACCCCCATGACCTCATTCCACTCTAGCATTTCACCCTGATGCTCTCACTTACACTTTATCATCAGCAGCTACCCAAACTCTGCAGAGTCCCTTAAATTAATTAAACTCTTAAACTAATACCTTCCAGTTAATAGAGCAGTTTCAAGCCTTCACTCCCATGGTGACTGTTCTTCAAATGCTATCAAATCCTAGTCTTTTGAGCCCTCTGTTTTCCTCTTATTTATCAGCCATCTTAAGAGCCTTACTCAATTTCTTATTTAGCACGGGTACTGCAATCATTTAAACCGTATCTTCAAGTTCCTCGTCTCCTCTTCAGTGATTTGCCTAAAGAGACAGAGCTAGTAAGTGGTACAGCTAGAACTCAACCTAGATCTTTCTCCAACCCCCTCTCCTTTCCAGCCTTTCATATGCCACCCCCTACTCTTGCCAATGGGATTGGATAAGATTGATGGGACAAGTAAAGATGTACAGAGGGAGATTTTACTTCTTAAACAGAAGGTGAATTATCTGAAAATTACAAAGTAAATCAGGACTTTCTCCTACAGTAACCTGTGAGCTATCGGCTGTTTTAGGGTTTTGTTTGTTTTGACTGGACTGCAGAAAATAATCTAGATTATAGATTAGGATCTGACCAAAACAGGTTCCATAGTAATTTTTTTTTTTTTTTTTTGGCGGCACACGGGCCTCTTACTGTTGTGGCCTCTCCCGTTGCAGAGCACAGGCTCCAGACACGCAGGCTCAGCGGCCATGGCTCATGGGCCCAGCCGCTCCACGGCATGTGGGATCTTCCCGGACCGGGCACGAACCCGTGTCCCCTGCATTGGCAGGCGGACTCTCAACCACTGCGCCACCAGGGAAGCCCAGTAATTTTTTTTTTAAAGAAGCAAAAAGGAGAAAATTTGAGGAAACTTCAAAGGAATACTGAAATTCCTCCAGAACATATAAAATACGGTAGGTGAGGGAAAATGTGACATGTAATATACAGTTATCACTGCATGGGAGCCTATCTTTTCTTTCTTCTTTCCTGTAACAAAAGAAGGTGGCTCTAGCCCCTTTTCTATAGCTCATTCCTTCACCCCTGAATCTCATTAGAGTCAGGAATTATTAAGGGACTTAATCCATCAGAAATCTCTCTTCACTTCTCTAGCCTCAACTTCTCCCTGTCCTCTAAGTCCTTCCCATTAGCACTGAAACACGCCCAAGTCCACTTTAGTCTTTTACGAGTGTTTCCTTCACTTCATATCCCCTTCATCTTCAGAGTCAAACGTCCTCAGTCTTCTATACTTTACGTATTATACCTCCTCAGTCCCCTGCAATCTAACTGTTGCTACCACAATCCCACTGAGATAGCTCAGACCAATGACCACCCTGTTGTAAAACCCATTTTAAAATTCAATTTTCATATCTGTAAGCAGGAAAAATAACAGTACCTACCTCCACAAGGACTGGAAGATAACACATGCACCTAATTTACAGGGTGCCATACATATAATACTATTTTAACAATGCCTTAATTGTTGATATTTTGTCCCCCCTTGGCTCTCATCATATCCCATACTTCCTTCATTTTCCTCCTGCCTTTCTAGGTGAAACTTTGAGCCAAGATCTGTAAGTTCTGAATCCTACTGGGTTTCTACTATATGATATCTACAACTCTGACAGAGAGTACATTATACTTTGGCTTCCTTCCCAAAGGTTTTATGCTGTTCTTGAAGGAATTTTTTTTTTTTTTTAATTTTGTGGTCTTCCTTTGTTTACATTTTTGGGAAGAGGAAAACAGATGTTGTCTGGTGTGGCTCCTCTTCTTCGATGGCATTCATAAATTCCAAAATGTTCTGAACTAAAATGGGAACCCATGGCCTAAGAGGATCTACTTCAATTTGCAAATTTATTGATGTAAAATTTTACCACCTATAATAATGAAAAGATATTTGTTCAAAATAAGTTATTCACTCAGCACATATTAATAATTACCATATTTGTTGAGGATCTACTGTGACAGGTTCTTTATGAAAATTTTCTCTAGTCCCAAAAGTTTGGTTTTATCCACATTTTACAGATACAGGGACTCAGAAATTAAGAAGCCTGCCCAGGTTACAGAGTTGACAAGTAGCTTATCAGACTACAAAATTCATTCTCTTTCTACTAGGTACCACTTGCCTTCTAATTTCACTTTATTTTCCCAGACACTGGGAATTCAGATTTAATGAAATCTGTGTGGCTATGCTCTGATATCTGACCCCGTGCTGAACACCGGGCTAGGGGAAAGGGAAGACCTCTAAATATATAATGGCGGTCCTCTGAGCTCTAGCACTTCCAGAACACAAAGGAAGGAGGAATTCTTTTCCATAAAGGGTAGAGATGAGAAGGTCTTGGAGAAGTTACATTTTATCTAGGAAATAGGATATTCCCACCCTTTTCATACATTCCTGTCTGATTTCATTTCTTGGGCCACTGTAATCTCCTATAGCAGTTTCTCAACCTCACCACTATTAACATTTTTTGCCAGATAATTCTTTATTTGGGAGATACTGTAAGTGCATAGTAGAATGTTCAGCAGCCTTCCTGGCCTCTACCCACTATATGCCGTTAGGACCCTCAATCTCCCACAGTTGTGACAAACAAAATGTCTTCAGACATTGCTAGATCTTCCCAGGGCAGCAAATTGCCCCACTTGAAACCAGTTCCAAAGTCTTACCCTCTACTGCTTCGTACACAACTCAACAGCCCTTCTCTATGACATTACCATAACAAATCAAAGAAACAAAGTAGATAGCTCAGAAAAAGGCATTCCCATGAGATTGTAATGTATGACAGAAGAAACATCATAATTGGGAAGGGAAGCATTCAGTGTAGATTATTAGGACAACTTGTAAACCATTCAGACAAAAATTAGTATCCTCAGAATAAATCTCAGATACATAAATCAGAACACTGTTAATACTTCAAACAAGAGGGCGGAAAGCAGAGCATATTCATTATGCCTTAGAAAAGGAGGAATTTACCAGCTTGGACACAATAAGGGAAATGATCAAGAATCAGGAGATATATTGTTAACTATGTTGAAATTAAAAATTCTTGTCCATAGGAATTCAAACACAAAAGGTAAACTGAAAACAGCAAATATTTTTAGGAAATTTGACAAATAATGAGTTGAATTTTAAATTAGTAAAACCACTTTAGAACTGTTGGCATTAACTAGTATAATTGGAGATACGCACCCAGACCCAGATCTTGGTTTCTAATACCATTCTCCAATAAGAGGAATGAGGGCTCCTTGGAGAAACTGCTGATTCTAGAGTTGGGAGTATACAAACTGAGTCTAAAGCTTCTTGTTATGCCAGAAAGTAAGGAAAAGAAAAGGATGAGGTAGGTCAAAAAGATACAAGAACCAACCCAAAAGAGCTCCCAATGGCAAAAGTAAGTAATGTATTATAACCTAAAGTATAAAGCAAATGTTCATAAGTCTGTACTGATATAGATAAATGACTGAATGAATAAATTAATGGGGGGAAAGAGACAAATCTTACTTACAGAAGAATTCCAAATACTTTATGTAGCTATTCCTTCCTCCAGGAGGTGGATCTTAACTCCAGCCCACGCCCACCCAGGAGTGTGGATCATTCTTAGTGATTTGCTAAGTGGAGAAACCTGACAAACTCTGCCCTAGCCTGGTGAGCAAGGTTAATATCATCAACCATAAGTCACTGTTCACAGTGTGTACCACTGATGTGATTTGATGAGAATGGCATATAACCACTGTGATATTCTTCCCCTAAATCCATAATCCCAGTCTAACCATGAGGAAAATTTTAGACAAACCTAAATGAAATGCTACAAAATACCTGGCCAGTAACTCTCAAAAATGTCGAGGTCATTAAAAACAAGGAAAGACTGAAAAACTGTCACAGACCAGCAGAGACTAAGGAGACAAGATGCCTAAAAGTATTGATAATATGGTATCCTAGAAAGGATCCAAGGGCAGAAAGAGTACTGGGAAAAAAAAGTAGTGAAATCTGAACTAAGTGTGAATTAATAGTTTTAATTAATTGCTTTAGTTGTTACAAATATACGTTAGTAATACAAGATGTTAAAAATAGGGGAAGTTGGGTGATGGGTGTACGAGAACTCTTTTTTTCTATAAATCTAAAACTATTCTAAAATAAGATGGTTGTTTTTAAATTGGATTTATGCATACACGATGGCCTAGCAACTACAGTCCTCAGAATATATTATACCTAACAGAAATGTGTGTGTGCAGGTATATGCCAAGAGACATACGAAAATAGCCATAACAGCATTGTTTGTAATTCCTAAGCACTGGAAAAGATCCAAGAGCAAACCTATAGTAGAACCAACAAATAAACTGGTAAATTCATAGAATGAACTCCTAGGGAGCAATGAAAATATATGATCTGTAGTTACATGCCACTAGGATGAATCACACAAACATAATCACTGAAAGAAGTCAAACCCCAAAAGATTATATACCATATAATTCCATTTATAAAAATATCAAAACTAAAAAATAGAAAACTAAACCGGGATACTGTTTATGGATGTATGTGTAAGTGTTAAAGCCGTATTTTAAAAATGGGCTGGGGTGAGGAAGTAACTACCATAAAAATCGGTTTAGTGTTACCTCTGCAGGGAGGGAGGGATTTGTAATCAGGAAGCTTCCCCTGGGCTCTTGGGCACTCTACAGTAATGGTAATACGTTAGTAGAGTGTAGTATGGTAATAGTAATCTTCTATTCCTTGACCTGGTGATGGTTCACATGGATATCACTGGGTTAGCATTCACTAAGATGCACATTTATGTTTTATGCAGTCTTCTATATGAGTTACAGTCCCCTCTAAAATATGGTTTTAAAAAGGTTCATATCACCAAAAGACATAATACAAACATATTAGAAAAAGCACTAAAATAAAATTATTGTAAATAACCTTTTCAGACGGGGGGAAAATAGCTAACAAGTATTTCAGAAAATGTTCAGACTTAAGCAGATACCAAAACTAATACAAACCAGGTGATATCACTCCACACTTATTAAAATGGCAAAAATAAACTTTAAGAAACAATACCATATAACGATGAGAATGGAACGAAGCAGATATTGTTACTGTAAATGTTAATTTGTACACTCTTGGAAAGCTGCAGGTTTCACAGCTCTGGAGAACTTTAAAAATATGCATGACTGTTCAATCAGTAACTTCTCTATGGGAAATTATCCAATGGAAAGAATTCCAAATACAGAAGAGAAAGTTTTGTGCATAATAGAAGAGTAAATAATTGTCAACAAATTAAAATTTAATGATGATTAGTGAAATAAATGCATAAAAATATGGCACACACTTGAGTTTTCAGCCATTAAAATGATCTCTTCATACAGCAATATGCAACACATGCATGGTTAAAAGCAAATGGTAGGAGCATAAGGATTACAACTAAGGAATTGAAACCTCTGCATAAAAAATGGATGAAATATATCAAAGTATTAACTACTGTTGTGTTTTGGGTTTAGGACAATTTGTAACAACTTTCTTTAATCAGAATACATTACTTAAATACGTGGAAAAATAAAAAGGTGAGAGAGGCAATATCAATTTGTCAAATCTCAAAGAGATTATGAATGCCTGCCAACTGTACTTGAATTTGGAGGGTGGGAGCTCAGTGGAAACCTCTGCGAAGAGAGCAATTTTTTTTTTTTTCGGTACGCGGGCCTCTCACTGTTGTGGCCTCTCCCGTTGCGGAGCACAGGCCCCAGACGCACAGGCTCAGCGGCCATGGCTCACGGGCCCAGCCGCTCCGTGGCATGTGGGATCCTCCCAGACCGGGGCACGAACCCGTGTCCCCTGCATTGGCAGGCGGACTCTCAACCACTGCGCCACCAGGGAAGCCCAAGAGAGCAATTTTAGGTCTCTGCTGGGGGAGAAGGAGTGGGAGTGATACTACTACTATGGGTAGAGGGTGACTGACGCAGGGAGCAAATATGCGCTATTCTTTTTAGAACTTTGTTAGAAGAGGAATGAGAGCAATTGGTAGCGAGGAGCATAGAGAGTGCAAAGTTTTAGGCTAGCGGTTTTGTCTTCAGTCGGGCGAGGGGGTTGGAGGCGTCACAGGGTGGAGGAATAATGGCGGAGCCCAGGTGGAGGGAAGATTCTGGGGTTGAACGATAAACACCTGCTCCAGGCAGAGGGGAGAGAACCGTGCCTGAATTCATCAGAACTCTTGACAGTGGGGATAATCATACCACCTGACATCAGGAGAGTTAAGAAACGGGCATTGCCCGCGAGTTAAAGGCTACACTAGGTCTTCACCCAAACTGCACTCATTACCCACGTGGGCACCCCGCTCCCGGGCTGCCCGCCTCCCCAGGTGCAGCGGACGAGAACCTGGGAAGTGGCCTCTCCCGCCCGGTCACCGCCGGCGCCCTCTAGCCAGCACCGTTCTCCACCCCCGGGGTCCTAGCAGCTCTCCTCTTGGGCCTCGGGCCGAGTTTGCCTGCCCTTTCTTGTCTTCCACACAGAATCCGGGCTCTGGCAAGACGCTCACGGGATTTAACTTTGTATTTTAGAGCAGGCAAAATACACGCAGAGAAGAGGACGGTCATTCCATACCTTGGGTCACACGGTGGGCACTGGTGGCGAAGGTTCAATTCCAGCGCTGAAAGCCACGAACCCAGGAGGGAAAAGAAAGAGGGAAGGGAGGGGCTCAAGAGTTACCTGCTGTCTGTTGCGAAAGGGGAACTCACTCTTTGACCCTTTACGCCAAAACTCCCTCCGGCGCTGCGAGCCGAGCAAGCGCGCGCGGAGTGCTGGGTGGGCCGCCCGGAATGCTTGGACCCTCACAGCCCGGCCCAGAGAGTCTCTTCCCATTGGCTCGCGGGGCAAGGGGCTGCTCCCACTCTCCCGCTCCCGGCCTGCGTCTTAGACCTGCGTTACCACGCCCTGCTCCTAGGAAAAGATACACTGTTCATTATGGGATCCTCTGTGTGCAGCACACCTTGGGGCACACAGCCTCCTTTTCCCGATAACCAGTAACATGTGGGGAAGAGAGAGTCTGGGAGTTGGACCCTAGCTACGGATGACCTTTCCCAGACAGGCTGACTTCTAATAAGCTGCGTCCCCTTATTCATCCATCCAATAATCCCTATAACTGTTGAGCACCCACTTCGTGCCTGACAGTTTTCTGGGTCTTCTCTAGCAGGGAACAAAACATTCAAAATTTTCTGCCGCCCCCCGCCCCCAGACCCCCACACCTCCCATGGAGCTTACATTCTACTGAAGGAGTAGAGATAACCAACTGCAGTGTATCAGATGGTGATCATTGCTAAGGAGGAAAACAGTGGGTAAGGGACCTAGTGCTTGGGGGTGGGGGCTAGGAGGTGGGTCCTATCTCTCTTTGGGTGAAAAAGGAAGACACTCTGCGAAGGGGACATTTGCAGAAAGTGAGGGCGTGAGCGATGCAGATGGAGCATTCCAGGGGGAGGAAATATCTAAGTGCAGAGGCCCTCGGCAAGAGTCTGCCTGATAGACATGAGGACATTTGAGTAAATCAAGCATCATGGTCATCATGACCCTGTGTTGACATATAGTTAGTGGAATTTCGTCCAAATCCCAAATCTCTTGTGTAAATTTATGGCCTTGGCCCCTCAAAGTTGGCTTAGACTCTAATAAATCCAGCAGCTTCAGCAATTAGAATCGTCTCTCAGATGAGAGACCTCAGATTAAATGGGCAAATGTGTGTCCTCTTAGGATGGGGATTACCCATTCTAAAGACCCCCCCCTTTTTTTTTCCTCTTGACATAGCAAGATTTGGGAGATTGTGGAGTTGTCCATAGCCTCATTTAAGGTAACACTTCTCCAGCTGGAATCTTCACGGAGAGCTTTAAACCTTATTGGCAAAGTAGGAGTCAGCATTCATTGTCATCAAGTAAATGTCCACTCTAGGCAGCAGATACTAAGGGAGCAGGCCTGCTAGTTGGCAAGATGGATCCAACAACCTCAATCACCCAGAAATCAGAGCCTTAGATTGTAAAGATTCATTTAAAAACTAATTCAAAAGGATAACCAACAATGTGAGGGTGAGAGAAAACAAGGTACACGCTCTTGGTTTGGCTCCAGCCTACTATATGGATTGGTTATATAATAGCTCTTCAGGTAATGTGCTAAATATTTTATTCACAAGTCCATACATCTTAAGAGAAGCTATGAATGTTAGAGGTTTTGCTTCTGAAACCATTTCTAACATGCTCATAAAAAACCATGAAATAGAACACATTTATTTCAGGAAAAAATTAAAAACTGAGGAGACTGTTAAAGAAACGAAGTTTTACAAACTGAGTGTCCCAGAACTGTACCTTAGTAAAAATGAATTAGACATTTTTATTTTATTTACATATATCTGACAATATTTGATTTTATGTGAATGCTTACGTTTTATATCATGCATTTTAGTGCAATCTTTTTTGTTTCTTTTTGACAGCTCTCCCACTAAAAAAAGCCCCGTGAAGAACACGTTTGCCCTTTATCGCATCATTATTAAAAAAAATTGTTTTGCCTTTTCTCTATTACTTTTGGTAAAATTTAATTTTCCATGCCTTCTTTCCTTTTTTTTCCTCAGTATATGAGCTGCTGAAGCAAGCACCATGCCTTTTTTCCTTGAAAAGCTAAATAATAAAATTGAAATGCAAGTCTTATTAATTAACAACTACTAGGGAAAAGGCATTTCTGAAAAAATTTATAGATGTCTCCACAAGCCCTTGCAACTGGAAGGAGAGACACCATTCTTCTTCATAAAACTAATCTAACAAGGTGAAAAGTGGAAATCAGTAATAGAATATCCATCTTGTTTTGCTGTGCAATAAGGAGATCTGCATAGATATTCATAATGCTACCATCTTGTTGTATTTCTCCTTATATTGCACTTGAAAGTGTTAGTTGTATGAAGTACTCCTATAAGATACCTGGGCTTTTGAAAGTATTGCAATACCTTGTGAAAGTAACCTTTAACATCTAACATGAATTCTGAGTGATTGTAGTCCTTGTTCTTCTGATAATAATATTACGAATGACATCTCTGTGTTACTAGAAGGTAAAATGCTTGGAGGTTTGTCAAATAAGAAAGCTTGTGATTTCCCTTATCTCCCACAAGCACGTAAAAGTCATGAAATTCCTTTTTTACTATGAGTCTGAGAGACTTATAGGCCCTCAATTTTCTTCCTATCTTTACTCACAGTGATCTCTCCCAATAAATGAACCACATGAAGAACATCAACTATCTGGAATGTATCCTTTTGCATTTTTTCTCCATGCTTGTATAATTATACTCACAATAACATACACAAACACATACACACACACACTGAGTTACACAATTTGAATTATATTTTTCTGTTTTTTGCATCTTGAATTCCTCACCCAACAAATAATTTTGTGCGTTGGCTATTGATGCTCTCTCCCCATCCCACTTCACTCCACCAAATAGAATGGCTCCATAGTGGATAAAGATTTTTATCCATTTAGTTCACTGTGTATCCCCAGCACCTAGAACAGTGGATGAGTCCATCCACACCTCATGAATGTAAGAAGGGACTGCTGTGGAAACAAACATGACAAGTTGAAAGAACAACAATTAGGCCAGAATGGCTAATACGGCAAAAGGGAGCAGAAAAATGAAATATGGAGTCAGAGAGGTAGGGAATTAGATGAGAAAAGTATGGCTCTATATGTAGGGCCATATAGGTCACTGTGAGAACTTTGGCTTTCACTTAGGAATAAGCTAGGGAGCCAAGAAAGGGTTTTGAGCAAATGAATAATCACAATTATGTTTTGATCATCCAGGATCCTCATGAAGGGGATTGGAGTAGCAATAGAAGAAGCGAGGGACCAGTTAATAGTCTATTACAATAATCCAGGTGAGAGAAAATGATGGTAGCGGAGAAGCCTAGGTCTTGGCAGGAAGAGATCAGGGAGGAAAGCCCCACCCGACCAGCGAGTTAGCAGGAGAGAAGCGGGCCCCCATAAAACGAAATTTGAAAAGCCCTCTTCGCGGCTGTGAGACTCGAATTTAGAGACGACGCTACAGCCAGAGCTAGTGGGTTGCCCATTCCGCCGAGTGCGCGAGACAGCAGGCGTTACCACCCCTCGCCCCCCAGGGTGACTGTTTCCCCGAATCCCCAGCCCTGACTCCCCTTCCCAGGGGCCCTAAACACACCTAGAACCGTCCCATTAACGTTAGTATCTTGGGGTGCTCAGCCCCATCCTCGGTTCAGAGGGCCATAGTACACGGTCCTCTCACCCCAGAACGCTGACGCTTTAAGGCCAGGTCGCACCTCGTTCTTTCTGGCCAATCAGGAGCCACGTCCTCCGGCGTTTTCCTTTCCTGCCCCGCCTCCTCCCGTCTCCATGGGAACGCTCCGAGTGTCTACTCCGAGGCCTGGGGCTTCGGTTTTGGTCAAGCAGGACTGCGGCCATTGTTTATTTAGACGGTGTATTTGGGCCGGTCCCCATCCCTCTCCAGAGGCTCCGTAAGTGACGCGGACTCTCGGGAGCACCGAGCCAGAAGCGGACAAGGGCGGGGAGAGCTGTGGCAGGTAGAGAGGCAGAAGAGGGAGGGCCGGGGGCCGAGAAGCCGCTCCGGCTTAGAAATTCCGGACACCAGTGTAGGTGGGTTCTTCACAGACGCCCTCCCCACGTTTAAACTGAAGAAGGGGAAGGAGAGAGGAGGCAGAGGCAGCTTGGGTCCTGGGGCCGGGGTGCTCGGGGCCGGGAGGTGCTGGGGCGGAGGTCTGGATGGGGAACGGAGGCCTGGATGCGGAACGGAGGCCGCGTGTGTTTCCGCTACAGCAGCCGATGCCGCCGGGATCCAGCTCCGCGAGAACCGTTTGTACGTCTGAATCCGGAGCTTCAGATGTACAAACTCTGGCGGCCCTTGGTGCGTACGGGGAGCCCAAACCTGCCCTGCTCCTGGGACACCATGAAGCATTTTTCTCTCTAGGGAAAGAGGGCTCTTAACTGTTTATCATTTTCCCCAGGGACCTGTAATCAGCAACGGAGGACCAGGGTGGCAAAGACTCATGCCCCCATTTTACAGGTGAGGAAAGTGAGGCCCTACGAGGTCTAGAAGTTTGGTCTTTTTCGAAGTTCTACAAGTGGTTGGTGATAGAGTTGAGACTATGATCATGTCCTGGGGGCCCTAGATCTGGGATCTTTTGCTAAGAATCTGTACTCTGATCTAATAGTAAATCCAGTATTTATGTTGTAAGAAGTAGGAGAGGGTGATGGAATTTACCTTTCTACTTAACTGATCGAACAAAATTTTTAAAATATACTTTTAGAAAGAACTATTTAAGTGTGCTGCTGTTTTTCCAATCTTTTTAAAAAATTGTACATGTTAATAATAAACTAGGAAATTTTTGAGGCTCAGAGAGGTTAAATTACATAGAAAGCATCTTCATTCCTGGAGGGACTAAACTGTGAGATCAAATTCTATTTTCATGCCCAAACTAGAATTGTACTTTTCTTAGATGGTCAGAAATAAGGTCCTGAGTGCCAGTTGGTACAGCTCTCCTTTCGGGTGCTTGAAAGGGAACAGAAATGTTCTTGGGCTCTTTCTGACCTCTGTCTGGGAGATTTGGGGGTTAACACTCAGTTAGTACGTGGGGATTGTAGTGAGTTTGGGAATTTCAAGTCATGCCCAGTCATTCATTCCTCCTTTCTTCTCCCTCAGCTCAGCCTTCTCAACACTCCACGCTTCCCCCAAAAAGGAGCACAAAGAAGGAAGGAATGGTCACTATTTCCCTCACAGTCTGATCCCAGGTGAGTCGAATTGTCTTTTCTCATGTATAAAATGCCCCCGGCTTCTCCATGGATAGCAGGAGTAGTGGAGGTGGCCACGGGGATGGATGGACCAGACTGAATAGAACATATTCCTCTTTGCCTGGGAAGCTTTCAAGCCTCCTATGCAGCAAGCCCCTACCTCCTGCCCAGTGTCTTTTCCCAGCAATTACTCATTCAGTCAGCCAGTCATTCAAGCCTACTATATAATTCATACTGTTTTTGATGACCCGAGATGAATAAATACAAAAATGTCTTTCCTTAACCTTGGGGAAACAAACCACATGAGGTTAATAAGAATTTCTAAAGTTATCATACATTAAACAGTGCTGGAATGAGTGGCACTTTTAAGTAAAAGACAGGACCAGGAACTCAGAGTTGAATAATTACTATGAATTGGAAGATATCATTCCAGACAGCAAGACCATCATTTAGTCTCAGGCAGAATATAAGGGGACAAATAAGGAAACCGGGCTAGTTGCAGTAGAGACATAAGTATGAATGTGTAAGGTAAGGCCATACTCTGGAGGGCTATTAATGTTTAACTGGTTACTTATTCTTGTGTACCACTCAGAGTCCACGGCACATCAACCAGAGACAGCCATTATTGACATTTTGATGTATTTATCAATACTTAGAGCCTTTTATTTAATACTTAATATACATACATACTCACTAATCCGTACAAATACTAGTATACATGCATACATACACATATGTACAAATATGCAAACATAAATTTAAGATACATATATAAAGAGATGAGTATATATAAAAAAATTGGAATCATTACAGATAGGCTCCATGAAGGCAGGGAATGTTCCTAGTATATAGAACTATGCCTGGCATATAGTGAGCACTCAATGAATATTTGTTGAATGTATGAATGGCTATTATATGTTTAATTTTTTCATTTAACATATGGACATTTTTCCAAGTATGTTTGGATAGCATGAGTATTTTTTTTAACATCTTTATTGGAGTATAATTGCTTTACAATGGTGTGTTAGTTTCTGCTTTATAACACAGTGAATCAGTTATACATATACATATGTCCCCATATCTCTTCCCTCTTGCATCTCCCTCCACCCCACCCTCCCTATCCCACCCCTGTAGTTGGTCACAAAGCACTGAGCTGATCTCCCTGTGCTATGCGGCTGCTTCCCACTAGCTATCTATTTTACGTTTGGTAGTGTATATATGTCCATGCCACTCTCTTTGTCCCAGCTTACCCTTCCCCCTCCCCGTATCCTCAAGTCCATTCTCTAGTACGTCTGCATATTTATTCCAGTCTTGCCCCTAGGTTCTTCTGACCATTTTCTTTTCTTTTTTTTTAGATTCCATATATATGTTAGCATACGGTATTTCTTTTTCTCTTTCTGACTTACTTCACTCTGTATGACAGTCTCTAGGTCCATCCACATCACTACAAATAACTCAGTTTCGTCCTTTTTATGGCTGAGTAATATTCCATTGTATATATATGCCACATCTTTATCCATTCATCTGTTAATGGATACTTAGGTTGCTTCCATGTCCTGGCTATTGTAAATAGAGCTGCAATGAATATTTTGGTATATGACTCTTTTTGAATTATGGTTTTCTCAGGGTATATGCCCAGTAGTGGGATTGCTGGGTCATATGGTAGTTCTATTTCTAGTTTTTTAAGGAACCTCCATACTGTTCTCCATAGTGGCTGTATCAATTTACATTCCCACCAACAGTGCAAGAGGGTTCCCTTTTCTCCACACCCTCTCCAGCATTTATTGTTTGTAGATTTTTTGCTGATGGCCGTTCTGACTGGTGTGAGATGATATCTCATTGTAGTTTTGATTTGCATTTCTCTAATGATTAATGATGTTGAGCATTCTTTCATGTGTCTGTTGGCAATCTGTATATCTTCTTTGGAGAAATGTCTATTTAGGTCTTCTGCCGATTTTTGGATTGGGTTTTGTTTTTAATTTTTTAAATTTGTTTACTTTTGGCTGTGCTAGGTCTTCGTTGCTGCGCCTGGGCTTTCTCTAGTTGCGGTGAGCCGGGGCTACTCTTTGTTGTGGTGCGTGGGCTTCTCATGGTGGTGGCTTCTCTTCTTGTGGAGCACGGGCTCTCGGCGCCTGGGCTTCAGTAGTTGTGGCTCACGGGCTCTAGAGCGCAGGCTCAGTAGTTGTGGCACACAGGCTTAGTTGCTCTGCGACATGTGGCATCTTTCCAGATCAGGGCTCGAACCCGTGTCTCCTGCATTGACAGACGGATTCTTAACCACTGCGCTACCAGGGAAGCCCTGTTTTTTTTTTGATATTGAGCTGCATGAGTTTCTTGTATGTTTTGGAGATTAATCCTTTGTCAGTTGCTTCATTTGCAAATATCTTCTCCCATTCTGAGGGTTGTCTTTTCGTCTTGTTTATGGTTTCCTTTGCTGTGCAAAAGCTTTTAAGTTTCATTAGGTCCCATTTGTTTATTTTTGTTTTTATTTCCATTTCTCTAAGAGGTGGGTCAAAAAGGATCTTGCTGTAATTTATGTCACAGAGTGTTCTGCCTATGTTTTCCTCTAAGAGTTTGATGGTGTCTGGCCTTACATTTATGTCTTTAATCCCTTTTGAGTTTATTTTTGTGTTTGGTGTTAGGGAGTGTTCTAATTTCATTCTAATTTCATTCTGTCCAGTTTTCCCAGCACCACTTATTGAAGAGACTATCTTTTCTCCACTGTATATTCTTGCTTCCTTTATCAAAGATAAGGTGACCATATGTGCTTGGGTTTATCTCTGGGCTTTCTATCCTGTTCCATTGATCTGTATTTCTGTTTCTGTGCCAGTACCATACTGTCTTGATTACTGTAGCTTTGTAGTATAGTCTGAAGTCCGGGAGCCTGATTCCTCCAGCTCCGTTTTTCTTTCTCAAGATTGCTTTGGCTATTTGGGGTCTTTTGTGACTCCATACAATTTGTGAAGTTTTTTGTTCTAGTTCTGTGAAAAATGCCATTGGTAGTTTGATAGGGATTGCATTGAATCTGTAGATTGCTTTGGGTAGTAGAGTCATTTTCACAGTGTTGATTCTTCCAATCCAAGAACACGGTATATCTCTGCTTCTATCTGTATCATCTTTAATTTCTTTCATCAGTGTCTTATATTTTTCTGCATAAGGGTCTTTTGTCTCCTTAAGTAGGTTTATTCCTAGATGTTTTATTCTTTTTGTTGCAATGGTAAATGGGAGTGTTTTCTTAATTTCACTTTCAGATTTTTCATTAGTATATAAGAATGCAAGAGATTTCTGTGCATCAATTTTGTGTCCTGCAACTTTACCAAATTCATTGATTAGCTCTAGTAGTTTTCTGGTAGCATCTTTAGGATTCTTTATGTATAGTATCATGTCATCTGCAAACAGTGACAGCTTTACTTCTTCTTTTGTGATTTGGATTCCTTTTATTTCTTTTTCTTCTATGATTGCTGTGGCTAAAACTTCCAAAACTATGTTGAATAATAGTGGTGAGAGTGGGCAACCTTGTCTCATTCCTGATCTTAGTGGAAATGGTTTCAGTTTTTCACCATTGAGAACGATGTTGGCTGTGGGTTTGTCATATATGGCCTTTATTATGTTGAGGAAAGTTCCCTCTATGCCTACTTTCTGCAGGGTTTTTATCATAAATGGATGTTGAATTTTGTCAAAATCTTTCTCTGCATCTATTGAGATGATCATATGGCTTTTCTCCTTCAGTTTGTTAATATGGTGTATCACGTTGATTGATTTGCGTATATTGAAGAATCCTTGCATTCCTGGGATAAACCCCACTTGATCATAGTGTATGATCCTTTTAATGTGCTGTTGGATTCTGTTTGCTAGTATTTTGTTGAGGACTTTTGCATCTATGTTCCTCAGTGATATTGGCCTGTAGTTTTCTTTCTTTGTGACATCTTTCTCTGGTTTTGGTATCAGAATGATGGTGGCCTCGTAGAATGAGTTTGGGAGTGTTCTTCCCTCTGCTATATTTTGGAAGAGTTTGAGAAGGATAGGTGTTAGCTCTTCTCTAAATGTTTGATAGAATTCGCCTGTGAAGCCATCTGGTCCTCGGCTTTTTTTTTTTGGAAGATTTTTAATCACAGTTTCAATTTCAGTGCTTGTGATTGGTCTGTTCATACTTTCTATTTCTTCCTGGTTCAGTCTTGGAAGGTTGTGCATTTCTAAGAATTTGTCCATTTCTTCCAGGTTTCCATTTTATTGGCATATAGTTGCTTGTAGTAATCTCTCATGATCCTTTCTATTTCTGCAGTGTCAGTTGTTACTTCTCTTTTTTCATTTCTAATTCTATTTATGAGTCTTCTCCCTCTTCTTCTTGATAAGTCTGGCTAATGGTTTATCAATTTTGTTTATCTTCTCAAAGAACCAGCTTTTAGTTTTATTGATCTTTGCTATCGTTTCCTTCATTTCTTTTTCATTTATTTCTGATCTGATCTTTATGATTTCTTTTCTTCTGCTAACTTTGGGGTTTTTTTGTTCTTCTTTCTCTAATTGCTTTAGGTGTAAGATTAGATTGTTTATTTGAGATGTTTCTTGTTTCTTAAGGTAGGCTTGTATAGCTATAAACTTCCCTCTTAGAACTGCTTTTGCTGCATCCCATAGGTTTTGGGTCATTGTGTTTTCATTGTCATTTGTTTCTAGGTATTTTTTGATTTCCCCTTTGATTTCTTCAGTGATCTCTTGGTTATTAAGTAGTGTGTTGTTTAGCCTCCATGTGTTTGTATTTCTTACAGGTTTTTTCCTGTAATTGATATCTAGTCTCATAGTGTTGTGGTCGGAAAAGATACTTGATACAATTTCAATTTTCTTAAATTTACCAAGGCTTGATTTGTGACCCAAGATATGATCTGTCCTGGAGAATGTTCCGTGAGCACTTGAGAAGAATGTGTATTCTCTTGTTTTTGGACGGAATGTCCTATAAATATCAATTAAGTCCATCTTGTTTAATGTATCATTTAAAGTTCGTGTTT